ATCCCAAATTTGTTTTAAACTGTTGTCGGCTTACAATAAAAGACATCAGGTGTATTTCTGAATTTGTTTTTTGGACCTAATATTTCATCCTAGGCTGAGTCCTTAATGAAAATGAGACATTTTATTTTCTTCCTTTTTATAAATTAGAGAAAATAGATTAAGCCAACGTACAAGAAATAAAAAACCACTAAATGTGATTTGCCTCTATGAGTCATAACAGAGAAGCTCTTCAAAGGATATTTGACTGCATACAAACTATTCACAACTTCTTAGAACCTTTTTCCTATTAATCTAATTTTCACTAGTTATTTTTCCCCCACCCCAACAGACCATGTAGCCCTACTCTGATCTCTTTGGCTTTCTACAAGTCTTTATCTGGCTACTGTTGTCTGTAGCATAGATATTGCAGCAACAACAAAAATAGTTGTTACATATAGACTTTCCATGACAAACTCTTTTGTAAAAAAGATCCTGAAAATCAGAGACAGCATCTTCCCTTCATTATTTTCTCCTTTAGAATGAATGTGAGAGAAGATAAAAAGTAAAAAACAAAAAGTCAAATTACAGTGGAGACTTTTTTCCTCTCACATTCTTACGTATTAGATCACATCTAAAGTGAATAAATGATAATGAGTTAACTGAATTTATAGACTTTAAGTGAGAGGAAAAACAACATTATGCTTAAAGACACAGGACACAAGTGTTACAGGTTCAGTTCTCTGCTATACTCCAAATTTCTTGCTCAGTCCTGGCTTCCCTGATTTTCTCTTCCTATCCTTTAGTTGTTTTGTTTGGCTGGGTTATAAACTTTGAGAGGCAGCAGGGTGCCCCTCAGTGCGTGCTTGTACAGCTTCCAGCACAAAAAGCCCTGATCTCAGATGGAAACTCTGAGCCCCAACTCAAGACCAATCACTTCACAACTTTATTTCTAAAGATATCTGACGTGAAAAAAAGCATAGTGAGTAAACAGATAGAGAAATGCAAGGTGCATTAGCATTTTACCTTGAGAGCATATTACACTTTTTTATTTGCATTGCCCTAATACTATTTTCTAGGCAGAGCTTTAAATAAGTTTGACCTCCAAAGATCTGAGACCCTTAGGATCTATCACTGGAAGACATTTCCTCAGCTTTCTGGAATACACTTCTACACAGAAGATTAGTGAAAGTACTCAAACTATTCGTTGCTGCTTTAGAAGACAGCACAACAGCAAAGAGGTATTATGAGAATCCATAACCTTCAAATTTATTCCCATGAAAAAAAGTCCAAACTAAGCCATATACATAGGCCGTCAGGATCTTACTCCACTTGCCTATTTTACCAAGTTTTTGGATGAAACATGAGTATTCACAGAGTGCAAGAAATATTAGAAAGCATCATTCAATGAGTTTTTCTGCATTATGCAGTTATAGGCTGACCCACTATGAACTTCTCTATTGACTTTTTAATATTTAAATTTTACATTAATTTTGGTTTTAAAATACAGCCTTTTTTTCTTTCAAAAATCTGAAAACACTGCACACTAACTTTTTTTCGGGCTTTTTTTTTCTTCTTAAATGCAGTATCTGAAGTCCATAGGGATCTACAGAATCAAATGCAAGTGAGGTGCTACAAATAAACATCCACTACATTGCAGTAACTGACCTTTCGCCCACTCTTAGTGTCTCCCAATGGATTAGATGCTAGAAAGAAATTCTTTACTGTGAGGGCAGTGAGACACTGGAACAGGTTGCCCAGAGAAGCTGTGGGTGCCCCATCCCTGGAGGGTGCCAGGCTGGATGGGGCTTTGAGCAACCTGGTCTGGTGCGAGGTGTCTCTGCCCAGGGCAGGGGGGCTGGAACTGGATGATCTTTAAGGTCCCTTCCAACCCAAACCATTCTATGATTCTATGAACAATTTTCAAGAGCAACAATATCATGGTAGTTTTCAGCAATCCCAGCACCTAACTACATTGTGTGTTACACAAATACTGAGGATGCTCTCTGCCTAGAAGCTTAATCGCCTTCAAGCATTAGTGAATACAATGTTTATAAACACATGAAAGATAAATGTGAAACAGACATTAAGTTTAAATATCAGAGCAAAGCTATGTAATGACAGCACACTGTGTGCCAAAGATTAGTGTTTGTAGCTTTCCTTCTTGTTGCTTCTTTTAACACATTGTTATAATTATTGCTCCCATGGCTGCAGCTGCCAACACAGACTCCCTCGACAATACCTAAGAATAGACATCTGAGCATCACATGAGTTTCATTTCTTCTCCAGTGTTAGCAGCATTTGTCAAATTATGCTTTACATAAATTTGAAACAATTGCACCATAAAACAAATTAAGTATCAATAGATGAAAATTATGATCAGAGATGCCCTGGCAATTAGAATGAAACAGCTGTAATTGGCAGAACTAGTGACTACGTCAGTAGCAATTTTTCTCCATACTAGTCTATATTTTTGATACTGTATGTTAAAAAAAAGCATAGTCCCAATAAAGGGCTACAGCATATGGACATATTCCCATTCATTATCATCAAAGTCTGTCCACAGCGGCTCTTCTGCTTCTCCTTCAGTATGTTTCTACCTCCCACATTCAGGAGACCTAAAACAGGTCTGTCTCTTCCTTTTCCATATCTGCACTCAACACACACCACGTAACTTCCCGTTGTGATACCAAGAGCTCTTCATACCAACAAAGAGCTTTCTTCAGATCTGTCATGTTCAAACCAGGACAAGATCTCACTGAGAGGAGTTATTGGAGGAGGAGGGAAAGAAAAGGTGGTAACTACTTTATGCAGATACGATGCTTCTTCAAATCACTCTTCTTGGCTTTGAAATACATCTGTTTGCCTGCAATAATTGGGCGCTACAAGAAAAACTGTAATCACAGCAATCACCCAGTTGCCTACAGAAAAAAAGCATTCTCTTTAAAGAAGGGAGCGGAAGTTAAACTAGGACAGCTTAGGTTTAGCAAACCAGATTTAACAAACCAGCGCTCTGTGAATCCACCCTTATGGTTCTTCCTCTGGTTGCCACTCAGCCTACATTTTCAGCATCACCCATAAGACACTCTGAAGACGTACGATTCCTTGAAGTGAAATCGGATTCTAACATAATCCTGCATAATTTACAGTCTCACATTGGACTTTCTTCCCAATCAGCCTGCAGGGGCCAGAAGAGTTTCCACAACTAATATTTTAAAATAAGAATAGAGGGAGGCATTGTGACCTCCAGAATGTAAAGCAGGACATGGAAATCCTGTTCCAGCTTTGATGTTAAAAATTAATGGGAGAAGTTTGCTGCTGGGGAAGAACAAACAAACAAACAAAAAAACCCAACAACAACTAAAAACCAACAGTAACCACACACACAAAGAAAAACCCTGACTCTTGAATATCGAAGTATTTTTGTTGCCACCCAAAACCAGAGTAAAAACCTCCATGCTCCAAACTTTAGTTTAACTTCTATTCTTTTTAAATTAGCAAGGCAGCTGTCATAACGCAAGCCCTGCAAGAAAGATGTCTTTAGGAAAGAAATAGAAAAAGAAAGGTAAATATCTTACCCTTTCACAACTCTATTTATTTGATTGATTTATGAGCTTTGCACTTTAGAAGCACACTGCTCACTCTCAAAAGGTTTGTGAAAGTCAAATTCCAAACAAGGGAATAAGTGAAGCAACAGAGAAATGGCCTCTTCTACTGTTGAATGTTTAAGAGCATCAATTTTTCTTATTTTGTTCTATGATTTCTAGAGACAGCAGGTAGCTTAAGGCTGTATGTTACCAGATCTTTAACTGCAACAGTTGTCGTACTGAATTGGAATGGGGGAGCTATAATTAATCATGCACTGAGTTAAACAGGTTAATTGAATACAGTTTTCAGTAATCTAACAAAGATACACACAGAGATGTATTTGGATTAAACAGCTCAGCCAGTCTAATGGTCAGCCTTGTTCTACCATTACCCATGCTGCCTGACCTCCATCCTAATCCTATCCTTATAATCATCTGTACACTTTTTTCCTGGGTTAATTTTCTGCCAGTTTAGTGAATTGGCCAGTCCAGGAATTACTCTGACACAATGGAAATGTCAGGCATCTACTGCCTGGAGCAGGACTGTACCTTTCATTAGCACCCATATTTTAGACCCCATAGAACTTTTTTCAAAAGCATCCTATCCCTTGTAAACTGCACAGCTTTCAGCTTCTTGGTTCTTCTTCTGTTAATTTAATCACTTATTCAATTGCCATATTCTCTGTAACTGAATTTCACAGTGGAGAAATTGGAAATAAGGAGATATTAAAATTAGGAGAAAGAACTCTACCCTTTCTCTTTCCCCACCCAGAAACATCAGAGATTGTGTACATATTAAAAAAAAAAATAATCCTCTTTTCCTTTTATTTTTATTTTAGCCCCTTAAACTCACTGATCCTCTTTCAAATCAAACTCAAAGAAAAAACTACATGCATGTAATACTAGTGTTATTTAATTATGTAAATACAGAAAACAAGACAAGCTTCTTAAGCTTCCAAAAAAGTTTTTGTCACTTTGAATCCATCCTGCTAAACTAATACCATAAAATATATTTAAAGTATCAACTTTTCTGAAGGAAAAGACTAATAAAAATTGAAGTTTAATTTAACTAACAGCCACCACACCTTATGCCAATACTATAAATACCCAGTGCACTTATGTTGTTACAAAGCATTCCCTTTTGGCACATCCAGATTGGAAAAATGAGGTACGAGAATTTTGGACAGCCCTCTTTAAGAAAATCACCCTGACTGCTCTGATACCACAGTTTTATTCCATACAGTGGCAATGCTTTTTCTAAGAGAAGTCTATTGTAGTTGGCTTATCACGGCAGAAATGTTGTGAATATCTTTGACAGACCAAAGTTTTGCAATGAGAAGGTCATAGGCTTAGTTTGGATCTTCCCTTGTCTGATTAGACAGAGCGTATTTTACCACAATTGGCTCTAGCCACTGACTGATTTTCATTCCCAAATACCTGTCATCACCGTCACTGATGCATTCAGGAAGAGCAAGACTACAGCCAAACAGCATGATGTGTTGATAGCAGCTGAGACGACTGAGATAACTGAAGAACTTCAGGAACTTTTCCATTTCAATACTTTTGACAATGGAAAGAACTGAAGTTACAGTGGTGTAGTTATATGGCAGCATTTGGCATTGGCTGTTGGTGATATTTATGCAGGCACCTGTGAAATCAAAACAATATATTTAGAACAAAAATATCACCGTTTATTAGTTGGTTCAAAGCATTTATTGAATTGACTAGTCAGCACATATGATATATAAGCAATGCCTGTACCTCACAGAAAAGACAACATTCCATCATGCTATCATAATACTGTCAAAAAATAAGAAAAAAAGGAATCTGGAGAAGCTTGGTAGCTTAGGTTCTTACATAGTTTCACAATCCTCTGACCTTCTACAAAACCGGACTAGAAATAACACAAAACTTTCTGACACTGGTTGGATGAACATACAATAAGAATAACCTGGATACAGACAACTTTGGCAGAAACTAAGAATGGAAACCACACAAAAAAAATAAGGCTGATTGGGTTCTGAACCTGCTCTGGTTTGGGTGTTGCCATAAAGTTTCTCTTTTTGCTACTGTTCTACTTTGCAGCCAGCCTTCCTGCCAAAATCATCAACTTGCTTCCTTATTTTTCCCAAGGCAATGGTTTTACCTTCACAGTCTTTCTTCTCTATTCTACCAACACTGGATTATCTGATATTACAGCCTGAACACCTACCCTGTCCTAAACTGTTGTCCCACTCTCGACCTACAAAAGCATCCTTTCTGTGCTCATGCACTGTTATTTGCAGCAGGCTTTCAGCTCTGCATGATAGCAGACTTGACTTCCTACACAAAGTTCTTAAGAGTTTCACAAGCCATACATCAAATTCAGAATTTTCATCAAGAAAAATTATTAAAATCTAATATTTATGACAGGTCTCCCTTCTTTGATGAAAAACTTTCTAGGCCATTTAGTCAGCTTCCAGCAGCATTTTTTCACACTCAGAGCATATCCACATTGTACAATAAGCAGGGACCAAAGCCTGTTCTCAAGGCCAGGCTCTGCTACTAATCATGATGTAAACAAATCAAACTCATGCTAAATGACCATCTGAAGGCTAGCCTTCTGAAGGGGGAGAACTCTTGAACACATTCATGCCTTAGTACTCATGTTCTTATTATCGGAGCAAACCGGACATTAACTAGCACCAAATGGGGTAGATCCTTTCCATCATCAGACATTTTGGGACTGGCTTCTTCCAAGAATTATGTGGGTCATTTGCACTCAACCATCTAACTTGATAAAAGCTGGGAATACAAAGCAGACAAGATGCAACTCTTAGGGTTCAGCAAGTCTGTCTCTTCCTTACTTTTCATTCTAACCACACCCTTCCCTGTCTAAATGGCAAGTGGCAAATTCTAGTATCCATGAACTAATTTAACCTCACATAAGAGTAAGGGAAAGCAAAGCATAATGAAGAAAAAAAAAATCATTAGAGCTTTTTCAAGTCACGATGCCTTTGAAGGGATAGACAAAAAAGGTGGGTTTCAAATTTTAGCTTGACTCGGTAAAAAACAATCCCTAGTTTTTCAGCCTGATGAGTATACTCAAAGTAGCCCCTTTCGCCTTCTCCCTCTCCAGAAATCTCAACAAAAACTTGGAAATTGAATCTTGCCCCACTTAAATTAACAGCAAGTCTCTCCCCTGATTCTAATCAAGCTAATTCACAAGCCCCCATGTTAAGATTCTTAGCACCAGTGTACACCCATTTTCTTCTACACTCTCTTCTCTCTCCCACAGCAAAGCGATTAATGGATCTGTTCATCCAGGAATCACATTTTTCCATATAATTCAGGCACAAATTCTGCATTCAGAATTCAAAGTAAATGCTGGGAGATTAACAAAAAAGTAGTGAGCCTCCAAATTAAGAGAACTTACAAAATTGCAGAGTACAGCTTTCAGAAGTGACTTTATGAGTTAGTACCACATGCCAATGATTTTTCAGTGCAACTTCTGCTCTGAAATCATGCACGTATTTTTGAAAATACCACCAGGATGATCATCAAATCTACCTGTTTGCTGTAACACCAAAATCTAGTGATAAGAAAATAGCTTCCCAGAGGAAAGGGAAAAAAAGCAAAGTCAGGGAAGGAAATTCACTTCAGAATCACAAGTTTTCTTTTAAAAGATGCCATCTCTTTTATGACTACTACCTTTTGACTTTTGAACAACATCTTGACCTGCTATAAAAATGTAAAAGCTCCCTCCATTTTTTGCATTATATTTTGCACTTGAACAAACTCATTGCCATTTATTTGTACTGCAAAGGTATATTTTTATATAACATTTTTATTGCTTGGGAAAGCTTAAGAAGAAAACACAAAAGTTCTGACCTAAAGATTAAAAATATTGAAGCTTTTAAGGAGAAATTCTTTAAACTGCTAACCTGCCTACAGTTACCTCTTGCCTACATTCTTTTGTTGATGCTTGTACTACATTTTCAGTAACTGTTTTGATAAGAGCATAACATACCCACACAAAATTCTGTCTCCCCCACCCACAAAAATTTCACACTGAAGTTAGTTAAATAAATCACATTATACTAAATTGAAGGGGGGGGGGAAGGGGAAAGGGGCACAACACAGGGCTTACACAAGTGGAATTTCAACAAAATGATTCACAAAATCATCATGTATCTCCTGAGGTACAATTGCAAAATAGCCCCTGGCACTGCTTCACATGCCAAGAAGCAGTGACATTTTGGCTAAGATCATGTGCAAGGGCTGCTTTGGACCTTTTATAATTCACACAATCCTGAAAGAGAAGGGCTACAGTTCTTGGAGCTATCTGATCTTTTTAGGAGTGCTTAGCGGCTGGAAAATACGGCACTGAATTCAACATGTAGGGCCAAGATATAATTTTTTAGCAGTTTTACAAGAATTTCTAAAACACAGATGGAAGGAGGAACTAAACGCAAGACTCATCCTTGCAACAGAATCATGATCCATATTCAGTTCCGTGAATGTTGCATTCCTGTAAAATGACATCAGCATTAATCCCAGGCACATCCATATCCTGGAATGGTCTTCTGGAAAGCAGGTGCACGGGTTAAGAACCTCGTTTTTTTAACACGTGTCCTCAATCCACCTCTTCAATTATCTGTTCCATTATTCAACCAGCAAGTAAATTACAGTGCAACAGGGGAGTGTCCCGTACCCTCAACACCTCTGAGTCAAAAGGCGTAACTTCAGGGTAACAGCAACTGTTGTGTCACAGGGTTACGTACATCCCAGGTTCTCACTGCAGTAGTAACAAGCGCTACAGTCTCAAAAACCTCCAGTAAATTAAGGAAAACTATCTTGTGTTTGTACACGTTTAATTCTGCACAGGATCTCAGGAACAGCACCCCACTGGCTCACTTAACACCACACAGAGCTGCAGAGCACAGGTGCATCAGCCCCCCCCCGAACTGGCCCACAGCCCACCTCTAACCCAGCAGCAGGCAGAGAGATATCTTCACTGCTTTGCAAGTGACCTCTCAAGTTCCACACAACTGCAAAAGTTGGTCATGCTTTTGAGTAAGCACACTATTACAGAGCAAGGTTGTTTCGCCTAAACTGGGACCAGAAGAAAACTCAAAAATTCTCTGATTGTTTGCACAGAACGAGTCCCTCCATTAATTCTTGCATCAATCCCAATAACTGCGATAGACGGAACGTATCTGTCAGACAGGCAAGTCTGCTCAGTGCCAAATTGCTCTGTATGTAGGCAAAAAGTGATACAGACACAGCATTCTACAGAGCAAGGAATAATTTATTTTAAAGGCCATTAAAAGTAGGAGAAAAGCTATTAAAAATGCAAGCAAAAGGGACCGCTTATTTAATGAGAAGTAGGTATTTAAATAAAAGGATTAAAGATATATAAAAGATATGAAAACACATTTTAGTATGAATAGCAGTATTAAAAAAAAAATCTGAACAATTACACTGAAAAACAGTCACAGATATAAGAAAATAATGCAATAAAGCTCAAAATGCTTAACTATTATATACCAAATTGCTAAATTCTGCTCCATACGTACAGGCTAAGTGCGTTTTATAAACTATGTGGCTCTGCAGCACCAGAATGCTAACCTGACTGATGGTATAACACCCCAGTACTGAACATGTTACAAACCAAGCAGGAAATAGAGCAGAGATGAAGATAAATGCCCAATACACATAGAAAAACCTCAACCTATTTACTTCTTTTCTCCAGCAAAGATTCATTAATTATGGGGAATACAAGGCACATAAACTAGTTCTGGCAATACCTAAGGGGTGAAAAAAAAGAGCAGTGAATTAGAATAACAACATGTGAAAAAGCCGTTGATCAGAACAGCGTGGTTCCTAATTATATGGGTCATTTCTGACATTCATCTAAATTAAGAGTTTTCTGTTTATCACCAACTATTGCCAGATGGACTGAACTGGTAAAAAAGGGCTTCCTTCTACTCCAACAATTGCAATGCAACTCTACAGTTTCATATTCAGTGCTGCTGAAACCAATTTAAACAACACATTTTCCCTTTCCCTCTCTTCTCTTCAGATTTTTCCCAGATTGTAGTACCTATGGATTGCATCTGCACAAAGTGAAGTAGACTAAAGGGCTGAGCTGACTGAAAATAACCACCTACATTCTTTCCCCAAAGGCAATGCAACCGGAACTGCAGCTTAAGCTTGATTAATCATTTTAATGATTAATCTTCTCTTTTCTCTCTCCTCTCCTACTGCATTTTTTTATTTTTTTGGTGGGCACAGGGTAGAGAAGAGAAAGAGGGCAAAACCAACTATTTCATTTGGATCAGACTATTGGGTTCAATAGCTTTTTGGCAGCAAAAACATCTGTTGTATGCAGCCTCACTTTCATATCCTATATCGTCTGCTGATATTTCACTTAGTAAATAATCTTTTTAATCAGTGCAACTTTTACAGAACGTCTTCAGCCAGCTCATGGAAAATGAAAGTGTTCTATTTGCAGCAGCGATCACTATCCACTCTGATACAGAACATAACTTAGTACACTCCCAGTAGTAAGTCAAACAGTTGCAGTCCATAAATTCAGCAGTAAAGCCTCTGTAAACCCAAAGAAAAATGGTAACATTCACCTGGCTTTTTCATAGCCAAAGCTCT